CCTGTGTGGGTGCCAAAATAATCGGGCCGATAGATACCCCTGTCAGCAAGGACTTTTGAAAGGCACCTCTGTACAGATTGTTAGATTAGGTTTCTCGGTGGTATTACGTGTACGGAAAGGTCGAGGCTTGGGGTGTAAGTTAGTTAGTAGAATAGCCGTTGGCTGATTAGAGTTTTCGAGAGTCGAGTTGAGATCGCGATTCAATAGACAGTGAATGGAAATATACTGCTATAATCTTTTCTCCCACCCACACAAAACGCTCGACTGAAAACTTTTTTGTTCCCGTGAGCAAAAATGTTCCGCGCTTTTTATTGGCTTCTGTCTGCAACGACTGTATGTATGAACGAGGGCTCCGATGTCGAGTGGCAAAGGTCAAAACGCCACTTTTAATGGCTCCCACGCCCCCAACCGTGCGCAACAATAAACTACCACGGAGCCAAAGGGTCTCGGTACCCTCTACACGAGTCGTAGAACATTGTGCAGCTGAAAAAGCATCATGTCTTGTACGGACGGCTAGTCTTTACTTGGGTTAATATACTACCTACGTGTTATCTAGCAATCGCCACAACCATCGCGAGCTGTGAATAGAATCGTATCGAAAGCTCTCGGCGCATTTCTCGGCCCCGCCTCAAAATGCCCAGGAGCAGGGTATCTGGATACCAGTGCCAGGGCCAAGCAAAACCCCACAACCGTCATCGTGAACTGCAGTCCATCTCCACCATGACTGACAGCAACACTTTGTTTCTCTTTTCTTTTCTTTTTCGACCACCTCAGTAAGATCAGGGTATCACTATCCAAACACCGTCGTCCACATGTTGCAGGCACTCTTTACAAATCGAACAGCATCTGACTCATCTTCGGTCTTTTTGTATACACGCAAAGTCCGAACATGAAACCGCACTGGCCCGCGCGGCCCAACCACGCACTCTGTTCGCTAAAACCAGACACTGTATCACGAACTCTGTTTTTGTTTTATTTTATTTTTTGAGTGGAAAATGTCGATCCTTCAACCCTTCCATCCGGGGGGCCGAGAAAAGGCGCTCGTATTAGGCAGCATGGCAAGGCAAGGCAAGTGACTGGCATTCTGCTCTATGCCATATGGCGCAATCCACGCCAGGCAGAAGACCAAAAAGCCAGTGAATGACGATGATGGGGTTTTGCTGCTGCCCAGGCTCTTAGTAGGCGGCAGACAAGAAGGTCTAGGCCTGCGGACGCTGCAACGTGAGGGGCGCTAAAATCACAAGGACTAGGCGCCCGGGCTTGGCCCTTTGGGTTTCGCTGGCGGAGAGCGGACGAGCGAGGGAGAGAGAGGGGACAGGGTGATAAGTATGGGCTTTTGGCAAGTGGGATGTGCGGTATTGGCATGGGCATGGGGTGCGGGGCCTTGAACGACGTACCGCGCGCATGAACCACTTATCACCGTGGGCCGGACGCAATAAGTCGGCACACCTCAGCTGCATCGGGGAGACTTGCCACGCGTTGTGCAGGTGCGGCGGCCGAATCAGCGCTGCTAAGCGGAGGAGACGGAGATAGTGCCCCGCTACCCTTGGTGGGCATGGGGCCGCTGGTTGGCTGCATCTGGGACCGGGTGGGTAATACGGTGCTTGGATTGTCGGGGATAGGGTTTTGGGTTGGTGTGGGCTACATGGGTGGAGCTTGGGGTGGTGTGTGAGTGGCATCGTTGAGAGAGCGATAGGGCGTCTGTTTTGGCTGGGGTGGTCTGAGAGTTGGTGGTATATAGATGGGTGCTTGTCCCCCACCGACATGACTTGGAAGCCAGAACATCGTGAACTTCATACTCGACATCCTCATCTTCGAGTCATTCAACAGTAATACCTCGACCATCACCTCCTTCTACTACTATCACTACCACTACTACCACCAACACCAACACCATGTCTTCTCCAGCACCTCAATACGTCTACGTCCCCAACCTCGTTGGAGGACAAATGCTCCGCCTCCCCATTGAAGACCTCTCCTCCGACAGCGAGTCCACCATCTCCCAGCAACCCATTGCCAGCCCAACTCTCTCCTCACGATACACCCGCGACTCGTCCCCTTCGCCAAGCGTCGAGAGCGTCGAGTCTGAGGAGTGATGAGCTCATCACCCGTCCCACGCGGGGGAGTACGAGTAAGACACACAGGCACGAGTGAGAGCGGAGAATGACGACAAGGGCCTTTTTTTGCAGCCCAAACCCACAAACTGAAACTAGCGAGCGGAGAGGAAGAAGGAGGACCCTTTTTGCCAAGTCCCCTTTTTACTATGGAGAAAGAGAGAAAATCACCTCCCGAATCAGTCTAATCACGCGCACGGAAGAGAGAGAGAGAGAGAGGAATGACATCATTCTCGGTCATTTTCGTCTTCTCTTCTTCTCTCTTTTGTACGACAACCCAACCCTTTTTGCGCAACCCAACGCACGCACGCACCCCTTTTCCTCCCTTCGTCAATTTCCACCCAGAAAAGAGAGACAGACTGTGCTCGTTTTTTTTTCAGATTCTTGTCGGCCCGACAGAACGGATTGGAGAAAGATGGCCACGTGGACTTGGGCGTGTGTATGTGTGGGAGAGATAAGGGACTTCCGGGTGAAAAACAAAAGGTCGGCTTTTTTTAAACCCACCCACACACCAAACTGGCACCTCTTTTTTCGGTTCATCCAATTTTTTTTCTCGCGTCCTTCTTTTCTTGGTGGTTGGGATCGGGCTTGGCTTGCATAATGGGAATGCACGGAAGCAGGAGAAAGGAAGCTTGGCTTCGGTTAGAAGAGCTTGTGGGAGGGGGAGGGGGGCATGGGACGATCGTTGCATTGTTGGGGAAACAGAGCACGCGGGCTACCCTCAACCCCCCCTTCTTCCTCCTCTCTTAGCCGAACCCTGCTGCCAGGGGGAGGGTGATCTTTTGTTCTTTTTTCACCCTTTCGATGCTTTCGCTTCCCAACAGTAAGCTGATTCATCAGGCTCAATTGCTTTGAGCACATCACGCAAAGGAGATTAGTAGTTGGGCCACCCTAACAAAAAGTTGACCGAGATAGTAATCTTAATAGTTAGTATTAATGCAAACATGTCGTGGTATCCTTTGATTTGTTTCCGAGGTTTGTGCGCAACATGTCTTGTGACAGGTAAGCTTGGTCCTTGCAACGTGAGCGACAGTCAACCGTGCATAGATTATGTGGGATATGTATGGGTAGGGTTCGGGCCTGTAGGGGGAGCTCGGATACACGGATGCAATCGTCATGCGTGAGGCAGCAAAAGAAAAAACAAAAAGGGTTGCCTGAGACGAGTCTGGATCCTCTCGCTTCTCGTTTCCTTGCTAGCTTACTGTACGGGACGAACCATGTAACACATCATGTGATGCAAATACGGTGATGACGCTGTTGCGTTGTGTACAACACGTTCCACCCATCGAAGCACATCGTAATTCTTGCGTGTCTGTGTGATACGTTGCTTGCCGTTGGCCCCCAAAAAACTTTAATGTTCAATAAGAGTCAGTCAAGTTGGGCCACGTAGACACCTTTGCACGCACGGTTACTATGCCTATCCATGCTTGTTTTTTTGTCATTGCTATCTCCACATGCGTTTGGGAGCATCTTACACATATGCAACTCTTTGCTGTACACTACTTTACTTCACACTGCATCTTTCTTGCAGCCGCACGCGGAAAAATGCCAAGATTGTGGAGTGTATGTAAAGTACAATCGGCACCGATGCCCAAAACCCTGGCGTCTCGATGCCGAGGCTGGATGACGCCTGACTACCCGATGTATGGTCCATGCTTCATTTGTTTTTGGCAGGAACTATTATCTGAGCGGTGTGGGCGTTACCAGGGATAAGAGGCTAGAACCTCTCTCTCTCTCCTCTATAGTGATTGATCTGTCAAGAAGTAGATGTAATGCCAACGTGCCAACGTGAGGATATTGGGCAGTACTTGGCATTTGGGGATCGTGAGTGTATGCATGTAAACATACCGATGAAACAGGGTGATGGTGAAGAAAAAGAAATGACTTTATCACAAGGTGAGGCGAGCCCAAGATGCAGGCGAGACAGCTTTGGATGTGTTTTAGGAAGAACTCCGAGCCAGTCAATCTGGTGAGCCGCGGCCGCTGAAGAACCTGCATGCACCAAGAACTGCACCTCATCGTTGTGGAGTGATTGTTTTCTTGGCCATTCATTTCACCATGACAGTTGTTCAAGTGCCAGGAATTGAGTGAATACTTGGCACAGTGTGGAAGAGAGATCGTGAGATACGTCATTGAATTCACGTGCTTTGCTGCTTGACTATTGACAGAAGGTGCTTGATTCCCCCGTATTCACAATGGATCCGTTAGACAGTGTCAACCCGTAATTTACCATGTCTGAGCAGAACTTAGAGAGCGTGGTAGTCTTTGCAAAGTACGTAGAGACAGTTATCTACTGGAACATTGTGTTACATGAAAGTGTTCTTGTAGTCAGAACCTATAGAGATGAGTGTGTTCAAGCATAACGAGCGTGTATAGTACTGTTCAATATGAAGTAGCACTTCGTGGAAAGTAAAGTTACAGCACGCAAGGAGTATATCGCATATCACAGGACAGCAGGCTATTTCACTTCATGCCTTTCACTTCCACGCTTTCGGCCTTGCTATGAGAACTATCTATGTGTAAAACTAGAATTACATTGTGAATGGTGAAAGCAACGTGAAGATAACAAACTTGAAAATGTACTAGCAAACAAGCCGCACAGTGTAGAAACCATCAGTGAGCCACTACCATGATATTACACAACACCCATGATTCTACAAGATCCTCCTACTAACCAAAGTCAATTTGATTCACAAGCCCCCTTAAACCAATTGAACACCCGAGACTCTTACAACACCGTCGTCCGCAATGACCATCCTCGTCATCCCATTCTACTACCAAAAGTCCGACTGGCTCTCATACCCCTACGCCCCACGCTACTGCACAACAACAGCCGAGTACATCGCTCTACCGCCTTCAACTAACCCCATCATAACCACTCGAAACGACGCCATAGCCAAAGACGCCACCGCATGGGGTTGGCACATCTACAATGTTGACGTGACCTCTCCTAAAATGAAAAAAAATGCTGGGCTCGGTACGAAACTGCAGCAAAGCGTGAGTCTTGGGACGACGACATATGGCGGGTCTGGCAGAGAGAGCATGGCGTTAGGATCACGGAGGAAGACGCGAAAAAGAAGGCCACCGATAACGAGAGCGAGAGCAAGATGGATGCAGTGATTCGGGGAGTGAAGAAGATAGGGCAGTAGACGAAGCACTCGAGACAGGCGGCGGAAGCAGAGATGCGACAGGTCGAGGATAGGAAAAAGCGGTTGTGGGAGGAGGCGCGGGAGATGAGACGGTTTGAGAATGCACAGGTGGGTCGCAATGCTTCTGAGGTTTCGCTGCCCGCTTCATTTATGACGAGGCTTGAACTGTCGAGGGGCGGTGCAGCGCAGAAAGTGGGTGAGCCGTTTGTACTTTTCTGCGACTCCATGAATGTATCCAAGGTAGGTCGTTCCGATTCAAAGAAAGCCATATGATCCCTACAAATTCCGGTCATAGCCGTCTTCAACTATTTCCGCGTTGCTCCTCCAGAGTACTCGAGTTTTTCTTCCTTTTCTGTCTCTTTGTTTTCCCTCATCTTGCTTTTCTCACCCCTAATCCGCTTCATCTGCTCTACCCCACTGGTCAGATTCCGATGCGAGACTCTGACTTCCCACTTCCCTTGCTCACACCACTGCACCTGTCCCAGTTTTTCTGCAAACGCTACACTTCGATGATGGCCACTTCCGCAGAGACATCCTACCCTCACAATAGCCGTCTCACCTGTCCGAAGAGCCCTCACATCTTCCAACTCCATAAGACGTCTAATGTCGCTCTCAGCCCGTGTAACCATGTTGCTAAACGAGCTCCGGCTCATAAGCTCTTCTTGCAAAATGGCGTCGAGCCCTGTGCATGTTTTACGGAGTTCTTCAGATGGGTTGTTGGTTATGCGGCAGTCGTATTCAAGGTCGGGTGTCGGACTTGGTGGAGTGAAGCGGTCATAGGACGTAATCTCGAGGACGGGCCGTTTCGGTTCCGGCTGGGACTGCTTTGAACTATCGAGATTTTGTTTTGATGAGGATGTTTCCTTTTCTGTAGGAGGTACTAAGCGGATGTCCTTTACTTTTGAGGCGATGTCTGATATTATTGTCATGTTACGAGAGGTCGGGAAAGTGACGTGTGTGTGTGGGAGTGGGACTTATCGGTCGATGAATGCTAGCTGGCTTGGGAGATCAACATATATTCTTTCCGATCTGTATTACCTCCGCAAATCGACTGGTTCGAAACACATTCCTTTCTGGTAATGCTAGTTTGAGTAGGAAGCCGGCTCACCATCATGTGAGCCACAACCATAGAAGCCCTGAAGTTTCGTTGGCGCATGACGTCGAGCCCCATGTAAAACGCGTCATCATACAAGAACATTGCATATTATTTATCCATCAAAGAATTGTTACTGAATCTTCCTCAGATGGAGGATGGGAATTTGACTCCGCAATACTGCGGCCAACGCTTCGAACATGGGTGTTCTTTGATTATCAATGTGCTGTAGTTCTCTTACTTCTTCGAGGATTCTTCAATTTTTGGCTTACTCTGTACAATCTTCTCTTCAAACCGACCTCTGATGAGTCCCCCGAACTCCTGTAACTATCACTAGCTAAAAATAGTTGAGGGTCTTCAAGAACTTTCGGCGCATCTTTGATCTCCTCACCGAACACCCAATCAAGACCGGTAACGTCATCCGGGGGGTGGGCCGATTGTGGAACACCTTCATGATCCTTGATAGATTGAGCAGGCCTTGGAACTTGATCTTCAGTCATTGGCTTTTATCGTGTCTCGCGACAGGTGACTAGACTAATAGAACAAAAAGGATGTGTTTCTGCAGTGTGGTCCCTAGCGCTCCACCTCTCCGCAGAAGAAGAGGTCATGTCGGCCTCCGAGTGCAACACATGTCGCTGCTGTGCTTGAGTTATGGACTGCATTGGCCATAGATTAACTTCCATTTTACTGATGATGCGAGCCCTGTGAACAGGATTTGCTCCAGGTGGCGATTCTGGTGACGTAGTAGACGTGTCGGGTGATCTCAAGGTGTGTTCAACATTGAACGTTGAATATGGTCTTGCACCTCGGAGCTGGAAATATGCCGCAGATTTCTCGTCAGGATCCAAATGAACCCTTGTGAGGCCCAGTCCCTATGTTCGGCAGTTTTTGTAATAAGCCTTGGTTGGAAGAGTAACTGTGGTCAGATTTGTAATGGTAAAGCCCTGCGCTGAAGAAGTAGGCAGCACATTCCTTGGTCTCTCGTGTAATTTCTGAGAGAAGATGGGAGAAGTTACTGCTGCAGAATTGCTTTGAGAACGAGGCGAATTGGTCTCCAGTGCTTTACATAGAGTTGCTGGGCATTTGACCAGACTGGCTGCTGGTAACGAGCCCGGCTCGATAAGAAGTGTCTTCTTAACAGGGGTCTTTGAGGTCAAAGACGAAAATGTAGTCAATTTTTGATATCATTCGATCAGCTGTGAACCTCTGTTCACCTTTTGATGAGGGGAAGGCGTCTGGTGGGGGATGGCTGGGGGTTGTCCATGCTGGGGTAAGATCGGAAAACAAAGTAACTAAGAAAGTTACAAAGGGCGGATGTTGTTGATTCACAGAAAACACGCATGCAGCGAAAACTCTCGTAGTTGATCTTACAGAATCATCGTGACAGGAAAGTGAGAAAGTGTGAGTACACTGCATACGACCATTAATGCATTGATTTTTTGTGAGGGTGAGTACGGTACATGGTTGAGTGCAGGCTGTTCCAAGGCTCGGAAACTCCTGCAATCGTCTTGTACACCTCACATGTGGTTGATTCGTGCTCATGGACCCTAAATCAAGAGGGTCTTATCGAATAAGATATCGTAAGCGTCATTACGCGTAACAACTGCGGTGACTTTAGCCACTATAGTAGAATATCCTTACCTTGACTTCACATACCACTCTAGCTGTCAACTCCAGAATCTTTTGAGGCAAGCACGGCACTTGTCTGTCAAACACCGACTTCGTTTTATTTCCACAATACTCCACAAAGGATACAAGGAACGGTTCCGATTTGCATTCATATCAACAGGTCTTTAGGCGATCGATGTGGAAGCTCGGATATCTTTGTGTGATTTTCATACGGCAAGGCTGTGGACGAGATGCAGCATAACTTGATCAAGTTGGAGGCCAGCCGCGCAAGCTGATCATCGGTGGTCGTACTCATGCTCTTGCCAACTTTCATATCATGCAGTAGCGTAGAAATACTTACTACCAGGAATCAGGGCAGAAGAAGAGCCGGCAACAGCTTTGTGGGATCAACGACTGGGCATTTCCTAGGGTACCGGGTTGTGATGGACACAAATAATTGCATGCGACGAACGTGGCCATCGTCAATGATTAGCTCTCATACACTAACATGTCTGCAATAGGCGAAACCCTTCCGAGAAGGCCCTGGCAATGTATGCATAACCAAAGAATAAGTTCAGCGGTGTTTGTCTCGCTAGTAGGTCTGGATGAAATCTGGGGAAACCACGGTCGGAGTTAATCCTCTGGTCTTGGCGAATGACTCAATCGCCGACGACCCCTCTCTACAAAATATCCAAAAATCTACGAATAGCAACACACTTACATTTCACCGCCAAAATGAGTGCAGAACCCGCGGCCAAGACAAAGCCCAACTTTGACATTGTCGCGACCTATCGCCAAATCCTAAAAGATGATCCCGAGCTTACTATGCCCGTCGCGGCCATCGAGGCGCTCGTTGAAGCAATCGCACAAAGTTCTGTGTCAACCGTCGCCGAGACTCTCGATCTTCTCGAACGCCACACTGCCGCGCTGAAGGCTTCAATCGCAAACCCCATCTCCCTCTCTGCCGGTACCGACCTCTTCCAGCGCTATCTTATTACCACCCTCAACCGCCCCGCCAGCCTGAATCTGGGCCCAGAAGATGATTTCCGCGCGATACGAAACCACTTGCTCTCTAATGGAAAGTTGTTTGTGGACAGAGCAAAGCAGAGTAGAGAGAAGATAGCCAGTTTTGGCAAGCACTTCATCCGGGACGGCGGTACTGTGCTTACAAACGGTGGCTCGCGAGTAGTGGGTGCGCTATTGAGAAGGGCGGCTGAATCAAGCACTCTCCGCTTCAAGGTCATATATGTCTTGCCATCTGAAAGCTCGCTCGATTCAAAGGAGGGGTTGCAGACGGTCGCCGATCTCCGAGAACACAATGTACCGGTGGCCACGATCCCAGACTCGGCAGTGGCATACTCGTTGGGCAAGGTCGACATGATCATCGTGGGCGCCGAAGGTGTTGTAGAAAACGGTGGAATAATATCGCGCATGGGAACATACCAGTTGGGTGTGCTGGCAAAGAGCAAGGGAAAGCCATTCTATGTTGTGGCCGAGAGCCACAAGTTCGTCAGGCTCTATCCGCTGAGCCAGTTCGACTTGCCAATCGAGCAGAAAGTCTTGGACTTCAAGGTGGCAGAGGAAAACAAGGCCGAACAAAAGATCAAGGGTGAACAAGAGCAGCGTAATGTCTTCGACGAGGCCATTGCTGACATGACCGCAAAACAAGGCTCAACAGTCGCTCCGCTCGACGCACATGACGCCGTTGATTTCACTGTAAGTTTCGCATCGTGCATTTTGTATATGATGTACTAATCCAGAAACAGCCTCCAGATCTGATCTCTGGAATCATCACTGAGTCAGGTGTCCTCACTCCGTCTGCAGTCTCGGAGGAGCTGATCAAGATATGGTTCTGAGCCCTCTCTGAGCACCAAACTCCTCACACGCTCCGAATATATTTAATCAGATGATCCTTACGCCAAGTCCAACGGCAAAGTGAAAGTTACTCACGTCAGTGTTAGGAACTACCTCGATGTGGAAGTCTTCACTTCGCGCACTTAGCGTCCCCGCTACGACTAACGCAGCACATGATGAGACATATCACCGTGAACCAAAAACAGGGTGAATGCCAAGACCACTTCTGTGGCTTGGGGACGGTTTGCGTATTGGTTGGTTTGGATCGCCACTCTGCAACAGGCTATTAACGGCGAAACGTTATTTTGTACAAGGTGGTAGTGGCTTATGATACCCAATAGAAATAACCAATAAAACCGATTTGGTATTTCTTGGTTTTCAGGAAGAAGATTACTTCAACATGAGATATATCGTTTTGTTGCACCTGTTATACACATAAATCCATGATTTTGCTATCAACAGTAGGCTCTACGGTCCATCAATGCGACTACGTGGCCTCCAGAATACCCAGGAACTTGACCGGACGGGTCTATGCATTCCAAAAATGGTTGAAAAATGTGAGTGAAACCGGTGCATATGACCGCATGTAGCCGGACCCTCAGGTGCACAAACTCGATGCGCACACTCACTATAAAATCACTCCAGTACTGATACTCCTTTGCTTTCCAACTCAACTGACTCAATCAACCCCATCAAGTCAATCAGCTCTATCTATCTTACCAAACCAGTTAACCCAATTAACCCTCACTATGCTTTCTCACTACTCAACCCTCTTTACCAAGCCAAGAGCTCAAGCCAACCAGCCCCGTACCCCGAAAAGCTCTCACTTCTTCACTAAAAACGGCAAAAAACTCAAACCAACAACCAAGAAACCAAAAGACACTCACAAAACCCGGGATCTCGTGTCTCGCTACTTATCCTCCTCTCGCGTCACTTCCATCTTCCAACCAACACGCAAACCTAACCCCATGTCTCCCCTGGGGCCACAAAACTACTCTACGGGGACCTACCGCTCGTCCAAAAAAGACACGCGCGGCGCTCGTAGTAGTACGGGGCAACCGGAGTGGTATGTGACGTACCGGGCTATCATGGACGAGGAAGAAAAGAGAGTGAAGAGAGTGCGCAAGGAGGAAGATAAAGCGTGGGAGAAGGAGGTGAGGAGGGATAAAGAGAAGTATGCGAGGGATACGTTGGGGAAGGAGGGTGTGTTTGCGGATGTGTTTGTGTTGCTGGGGTAAGGGCGGATGGAGAGTCATGCTGGTTGTGTGCTGAAGTGAAACCAATACGATGGAAGCGGGGGAGATGCATATAGGGAGGAGATATAGAGCATGTGGTGTGGTAATGTAGAAGCAGGAGGTAGATGGATAAATGGATAACATTCAATCATGCATCGCTTTTTTCCATTTCGTATCTATATATGTCTCAAAATCTTACTTTTTTTTAGATGCAAGTGCCTAATTGTGGTGTGTAATCGTGGGTATCGCTGAACAAAGAGGAGTGATGAAATTGAAGGTGCGGGCTGACGGATTTACAATGCCCATCCGGCCTTCTTCTTAGCCGCCTTTGTTGTTATTGTAGGACCAGATGGTGGAGGTGGCTTGATATCGTTGAGGTCTGGTAGAGGGTCGTTGTCTCTGATCTCGAGGATCGTCATTTGAGAAGCGAGTGTTGTGGATGCATGCTGCTCGCCTTCGTCTTTTGATTCGGTTTCAGCAGAAATATCGTCACCAACTGGTCCACCTTCATTGTCATTGTAGTCTTCAGCTTCGCCGTAGTCTTCCTCAAGAGCAGCTTCATCCTCGTCTTCGTCACCAGGCTCGCTACCATCCACACCTGGTTCGGCGTTTGCAGCGTCGCCGTCAATACCGTGCTCCTTCATGTAAACTTCTAGTTCCTTTGCCATCTTCTTGCTGAAACCAGAGGCTTGCACCTCGACATCCAACCTCTTGACCAGCTTCTTTGTCGCATCTTTGAAGAATGGGCCGGGCTCGTCGCTTGTGAAGCCAAAACGACGATCGAAGAAGCGCTTTATGCAGGCGACGTCGCGGTCAAAGTAGTATTCGGCGTTGGCATGGTCGATGGAAACCATTTGCGGGAAATCGATAATAGTAGGTACCAGGGTCACGTTGCCATCCTTTTCTGTGCGCTCCTCTACGAGGATGTTGAATTCGTTGAAGTCTCCGTGGATCAGACCGTATTGTGCAAGACGGACAATGAGGGCGAGGAGTTCAGCGTATAGAGGTGCAGGGTTGCCGACCTTGGAGATCTGGCGCATGGGAAAGGCATCAATGAGGCCCATGACGACGGTGTGCCTGTTCTGGCCGACGGGCTCGGGGACTGGAAAGCTCTCGGCTCGCAACGCCTTCATGAACTCATATTCTTTCAGGGCGGCGAGACGCGACATGTACATCCACGAGCCTCCTTGGCGGTTGCGCAGATAGTCACGGTTGGCTTTGACTGTGCGGAAGGATATGCGACCCAAACGGTGGATCTTAAGAACCAGCTGCTTGCCCGTCTCGGAGGCACACACAATAATATCCGACTCCTTGCCTATGCCAATCTGATTGCCAACCGAGTAGACGGTAGCGGCCTTCTGGTGGGTGTGTAGGGCGAGGTAGTCAAGGCCGCCGTACGTCAAGCGGTAGCCGTCGTATTTGGCATTGCGGACTTTTGCGATGAGTCCGATTTTGGCCAGGTTGGAAATGCAGCGGTGAACGCCAGTGCCTGAGCGTAGAGCGGCAATCTGGGAAATCAGAGGCGTGGGCACAATCTCATGGTTTCGACTGCCCATTTCTGTCTGTCATGGTCTTGATCAGCGTTAGTCCCCCCACCATAGACACAGACGAAGACATGGGCTGCGGGCGCATACTGCAGTCAGGACGCGCCAGTCGTCGGCGGTCAGATAGCGAATGTTCTTGACGTTGAGCTTCATGTCAGGCGTATTCCGACGGCGGTCCGGGTGAGGGTGCAGGAGGTTGCTGGGATTGGGGTGAGCGGAAGAATATAATTTTTGGATGGTTCTAAGGCGAGAGGGTCTGAGCGCCCGCTGCCGCCGCCGCAGCTCATCATCGGCGGACGGTGCTTGGCGCTAGCGCGGCGGAAGTGGTACGCGAATGCAAGAGCTGCCTCGTTGACATCAATCCGCCCATTATCACTCCCCCTCACCAGCCTTAAAGCTGTTCCCGTTTCATTCGAGCGGCGCGTATACATTTCCCATCATCAAACGCAGTCCCCTCATTACTGGCCGTCGACGCCGCTATCTCCCCGCACAATAGACATAGTTCGCCGCCGCCGGTAGCGACATATCGTAATCAACATGGCCAAGGACGACGACAAGAAGCCCACGGCTGCCGACAAGGGCAAGGGCAAGGCACCGGCAGCAAATGATGCAGATAAGAGCAAGGACGCAAAGCCCGATGCAGAGGACAAGAAGGGCGGCGTGGCGACGACTGGCGGTATGTTTGGCCTGTAATCAAGCTGAGATGGTAGCTATCTCGGTGATTATATACTGACGGTCAACGGCAGAGGAGCTTAGTGAAGAAGACCAACAGCTCAAGAGCGACCTGGACATGCTTGCAGACCGGATACTGGTATGTGATGCTGTCTCTACCGTGTTCCCCGCAACATGCGCTGACCTTGTGCCTCTCCCAGGGATCCGACACCAGCCTGTACAAGCCCGCGCTCGACCAGATCAAGGAATTCATCAAGACATCGACTAGCTCTATGACAGCCGTGCCAAAGCCCCTCAAGTTCCTCCGACCACACTACGAGAGCCTAGAGAAGGCCTACGCATCATGGCCAGCCGGCGAGAACAAGGTACGTTGATGTGGCTATTCAAGGGCGTGAGACAGGGCTAATTGGGGAAAAAGCAATCGTTCGCCGACATGATGTCTGTTCTGGGAATGACATACTCCGACGAGGAGCGTTTGGACTGCCTCAAGTACCGCCTCGAAGCCCCCTCGACAGATCTCGGCTCATGGGGCCACGAGTACATGCGCCACCTTGCGCTTGAAATTGGCTCCGAATACCAGAACCGCCTCAATGACGACAAATCCACCGATGATGTGACCGACCTCGCATCGACCCTCGTCCCCTTCTTCCTTAAGCACAACGCGGAGGCCGATGCTGTCGATATCCTGTCCGAGCTCGAGATGATTGACCAAATTGAGCAATACGTTGACGAAAACACATACTCGAGGGTAGCGCTTTACATGGTCAGGTATGGACTTTTCACGATGTACTGTTACGGACTTTACTAACCGCCATAGCAACGTACCGCTGCTCACATACCCGGACAACGACAAGTTCCTCCGCACTACCTACCGCATCTATGCCAAATACAAGCAGTACACGCAGGCTATGGCGATAGCCATACGGTTACACGAGAAGGAGCTGATCCAAGAAGCTTTTGATGCCACAAAGGACAAGTCCATTCGCAGGCAAATGGCCTTCCTTTGCGGGCGACAGCGGATATGGTTCGATGTGTCCGAGGACGAAGATCCCGAGCTGCAGGAGTGTCTCAACAACACACGCTTGCCTGATCACTTCCGAGCGCTCGGCAAAGAGCTAAATATCCTGGACCCCAAGTCTCCCGACGACATTTACAAGACGCATCTCGAGAGCAGCAGGACCGCCGGCCTCACCAACACCGACTCCGCCAGACATAACCTCGCTTCCGCATTTGTCAATGCCTTTGTTAATGCGGGTTATGCTAACGACAAGCTCATGTTGGGCGAGGCTACTAAGACTAGCTGGGTATGGAAGACCAAAGACGAAGGTATGCTCTCAACAACCGCATCCATGGGTATGCTTATGCTCTGGGATGTGGAAGAGGGTCTTGATAGAATTGACCCATACACCCAAGTCGAAGAGGATATGGTCAAGGCCGGTGCGATGCTCGCCACTGGTATCTTCAACTCTGGAGTACGAATGGACTCTGATCCCGCCATGGCTCTCCTGGGAGACGAGGACAACATTAACTCCAAGAACAAGAACATTCGTTTGGCTGCCATCATGGGTCTTGGCCTTGCATACGCGGGGTCGAACAAGGAAGACCTCCTCGATGTCCTCTTACCAGTTGTCAGTGACACCACACTCGATATGCAGCTCTCCGCTATGGCAGCATTGTCTCTTGGTATGATTTTTGTTGGCTCCGCGAATGGAGACGTCACAGACGCCCTGATGAACACTCTTCTGGATGAGGACCGAACCAAGCAACTCAAGGACAAGTGGACTCGTTTCATGGCCCTTGGTCTTGCTCTACTCTTCTTTGGCCAACAAGAAGAGGTCGACGTCATTTTGGAAACATTGAAGGCGCTCGACCACCCCATGGCCAAGTCTGCCTCTGTTCTTACTGAGGTGTGTGCGTGGGCGGGTACTGGTGCTGTGCTGAAGATCCAGCAACTGCTCCATATCTGCAATGAGCACATTGAGGACGAGAGCGAGGAGAAGAAGGGTGACGAGCTCCTTCAGTCATATGCTGTTATTGGTCTTTCACTAGTCGCTATGGGCGAGGATGTCGGCCAAGAGATGATTCTGCGCACCCTCGGTCACCTGATGCATTACGGCGAGGCCAACATCCGCAAGGCTGTACCTCTTGCTCTGGGTCTCATCAGCCCTAGTAACCCACAGATGAAGGTCTACGACACCCTTTCGAGATATTCTCACGACAATGATAACGATGTCGCCATCAACGCCATCTTTGCTATGGGTCTCTGCGGTGCCGGTACCAACAACGCTCGTTTGGCACAACTTCTACGACAATTAGCCAGTTACTACCACCGCGACCCCAACGCGCTGTTCATGGTCCGCATAGCGCAAGGTCTTTTGCATGCTGGCAAGGGCACGCTCTCACTCAACCCATTCCACACTGACCGCCAAGTCCTGTCCCGCGTCGCAGCTTCAGGACTCCTTACCGTCCTTGTGTCTCTTATTGATGCCAAGTCCTTTGTTGCTGGCGACTCACACTACCTCCTCTACTACTTGGCTACCGCCATGTCACCGCGCTTCCTCATTACTCTCGATGAGGACCTCAAGCCACTCACAGTCAATGTGCGCGTTGGTCAAGCAGTAGACATTGTGGGACAGGCTGGCCGCCCAAAGACCATCACTGGATGGCAAACACAGAGCACACCAGTGCTGCTGGCACACGGCGAGAGAGCGGAACTGGAAGACGAGAAGTACCTCAGCCTCACAAATGTACTGGAAGGCGTGGTTATCCTGCGCAAGGTAAGCTAACCACTTTCAAATCTCTATATGATGTAAAAAACGCTAACGTCAATAATCATAGAACCCAGAGTGGGAAGACTGAGGGACACGATCAAAGCCAAAAAAGGAAAAGATCAGAGGACAGGAACGAAAAAGAAACGTGACATGATTATTGGCCCGCTTCTGCGTTTTCCTCTTTATCGTTTGTAGAACATAGGCAGCATCTGTGCACAATCGGCACTTTTGTACATCCTAATAGATTTTACGCGGGGGTTTGTTGCCCTTCTGCCTTGTATCACATCCTTTTTGTACCATGTAAACGTCGTCTTCTCTTTTGGAAACTAGAGTGATTGAAGGAATTCGACAATAGGAACAAGGCCAACTGTTGGACATGCCAACTTAAGCAGCAAATACAGACTACCCTCTCGCCAAGGCGTACGTGTAGGTTGCAGCCTGTATAACGCATCCAATGTCATGGGTCACCCATCTGATAAACCGTCAAGACTATTATTGACAGCCCCTCACAAACAATCAATCTTTGCCCAATCAATGACAGCAGGGCATAGCCTCTCCGTGACGGCTCATTTCCTCACAAAGGCCACGAGAGCTGGGTTGTGCGCAGTCAAAGAGCACCAAAGTCAAGCATGCACCATCAATGGCAACCATGGTCAAATGAAATAGCGCCAAGAAGATGTATCATACGAAGAACTATCGAAGCTACGACAAATTCGACCATAGAAGCCACCCCTATGAATCCTGCCCTCGCCATCGATGAGGAAAACAAAAGAGATACCTCGACTAACATCCTAACATCCTTTTGGTTCACTGGCTTGCCCAGATACTAACAAATACTTCTAAAATGTGAAAGAAGAGGCCGCCCAAGCATAGTTATTAGAGAGGATCACGAGCCTAATTTCGACGAGAAGGATATGTTCCAGGTGTCGAGGTCAAGAACAAGAGTATTAAGGGACCCACTGTGTGAAGATAGAGACCGGAATGGGTTGCAGAAATTAATGTCGAAAGTTCAAAGGCTTCAGACACAGTGCTGCTATGTGACGCGTTGAGATAAAGGGTTCCAGGCAGCTTGTGCTCATAGCATGCGATCATTGCCAAAGAAGTCTCCAAGAGGATACCACAGTTTGATGCTGATACAGCAGTTGTGAAGAATAGGTGCGTGAAAGGTGACTTGGAAAGATGTGCGTTCAGTCGTTGCGGTTGGAGAATCGGCTTGGTGAAGCCGACTTGTCATCAGCCTTGACTGGAGTCGCGGGGCTTGTCTTGACTTCAACACCATTCTCCGAAGTACTATCGTCACTCTTGATGGGTCCACCCTGGGGCATGTAATATACGGACGACCTGGCAGGGCCCAGTGTAGATGGTACAGGGGGCGACCATGGCTGCCGCTGGCCGCGCATGAACATCTCGAATTCGTTGGCGTGGCCTGGCGAAATCGGGGACGCGGAAAGGTAACGATCAGGTGTTCCCAGAGCCCTGGCCTGAGCAACGCCGACTTCATACTCTGCAGCACGAAATACACGGCCTGCAGCGGTTTGCTGCTTCAGCATCTTCTGCTCGTGTGTATCTGAGAAGCGGATCTGGATGAGATGTTCCTCGCCACCAGGCTTAGACACAGGAGTGTTGTTGAAATCCTTGATGACCAGGTCGCAGATGTCGCGAGATTCAAAACTAGTGACGGTCAGTGATGTCCGATTGTTGACAGAAAGTGCCATATCTTACCGAGCAAAGCCGACGCCACGGCCAGTGCCAGAAGAGTCACGGAGTATCCTGCTCGAACACACCTTGTGAGGTGCGAATATTGAGGCGAGTTCCTGGTTTTTGTCAGAGACGGGAACAGAAGAGCTCTTCAGTCACTTACATGCTCATTCATGTTCTTGGGGATGTTGGACACGTAAAGATTGGTGTTGCTCTCATCGGCGAACTTTTTGAGCTTGGAGTAGAAGGATTCCTATAAGAGGTCAGCAAGCCAGGACAAGTGCTTGGCCAATTGGAACATACGCGAGCGAAGCTGACTTCGTATCCAAGATAGTGAAAGCCGCGAATGCAGTCCTCAGCATCCTCGAAGTTATGATATTTGATGAAGCCGAACCTGTATCAATGAGTCAGTAAGTACAATAATATGTCAAGCAGTAAGTCACTTGCCCTTTGCAAAGATTGGTCTTGAGGTCAATGATGGACTTGGAGCTCTGGATGTCACCAAAGCGCTTGCCCCACATATGAAGCATCTCATCCGTAGTCTCAGGAAGTAGTCCGCGGATGTAGACGTTGGTCTCACCAGTCTTGTTCTCCAAGCTACGGTCGAGTGGCTTGTGTGGGGAGCTAGGAGCGGGAATAGCCCGAGGAATAGGTGGATCTTGGTGCACCAGCGCCAACAGATGCGGAGGCAATGTAGGTATGGTTTGCTGCTTCTGTATCGGGGCCATGACCTGGTAGGGATGAGCCAACTGTGATGGGGAAGGGGTAGCACTGCTTAAGTAAAGTGCGTTTGGGGAACGGTCCATGATAGCAGTGTTGCTGCCGTAACGATACATGCCACCGCTACCGTGAGGCGTGCCAGGGTTGTCGTTCTCATTGGAAGAGATGGAGTCACGGCGGGGCGTCATGAGCGATGGGATCTCGGCTGATGACATACGAGTCGTCCAACCCGCTGGGACAGGGCTGTTGTCGATGACCCCTTGGCCATACTGATATGCTGCCTGCTGAACGTACGTGCCAGCATGGCTATACATGCCAGGAGAAGGTGTCATACCGGCCTGATGCTGAGCGCCAGGTATCATCGGATACATGGATCCAATGACATGCTGGTTCGGGACCCAGAGTCCCTGTCCGTTGGAGATTGGGATATTGCCGTAGTCGGAAGAACCGCCGGGCAGTGCAGAGTTGGCAGACTTGGAGGTAGCGGATGATCCATAGGAGGCATGCATGCCGAGGGCTGCCATGTTGTTCGTCAGACATTGCATTCCATTATCACCATGGGGGGACATAGGCAGACCTCGGGGGAGGTATTGGGCGGACCCATGACCTTGATTGCTGAGCATATGCTGACCCTTGTATCCGGCAGTAGGAGCCACATAGCTCTGTTGACGACCGTTGGCAGCCATTTCAGTGGCCTTGTAAGGGAAATAGAGCTGAGAGAAAAGAGACAATTGGTGGAAAGAGTGTCGTCACGTCCTTGAGCTGCGAGTAGTACTGGGCAGACTGAGGATGCGGACCTCGGGAGAAGACGAGGTAGAGTCTTAACAACGGGTGCGAACAGGAAGACTGAGATGCAGAGAAGAAGGTTGCTCTGAGTGGAAAGTTAGCCTTTGTCCAGTGGGGTGTGACGTAGCGGGATCGTGTGGTGACGAATGAAAATGAAAGGGGAGGACCTCAGATAGTGACTCGAGAAGTGCAGGGGAGCTAGTGGACTCGAGACAGTGAAAGTGAGAAGCCACTTGGGATGGTGAAAGGGGCTTACCAGGTCGTAAATGTCAAGCTTTTGCAATGTGCGGGGGACTGGTAGTGACTCCAAAGCTGTTGAACAGTCAGCATCGGCACGATAGATGCTGGCAAGGCATCGAGGTGTGTTGAGATGGATGATGACTGACCGGCGAAAAGCTACAAAGAATGTGGCCACTGATGCGTACGGGTGAGAAGGAGACGAAGAAGAGTGGAAGAGAGAAGAAGAGAAATGGGAGGGTGAAGCCAGATGTGGTACAAGAGGACGGCGCCCAGGCGCTGTGGAAGGGAAAGAGCTACGGCGGTGTTGTCTTGGTGAACATGGCGGTGCAGACGCAGGTGGAAGTCTCGCCCTCGACAAGGAAGCTGCCCAGCGACACGGAGGTAGAGAGCAAGAAGACTCACCTTCCCAGCAATGCAAATTCTGGGACCAATCGTATCGACAAGATATCCACGTACACCAACCACGGCGAGGGCACCTGCTTTTCGGTGGCGGCGGATTCCGTTTAGATGTCGCACCGGCGAATGCCTTAGGGAATACTGTTGAAAGAGCTATCGTAGGTATCAATGTCAGAATCTGGCGGTCATGAAATTTGCGGTCTTCTGTTCCATCTTCTTCACTACCGCGGAATACTGGTCTAATTTATCACATGAGGGCGTTACATCGTGGAGTTGTGCATGACGATGCATTTGACCTCGTGAGAGCAGCACCAAAGCCGTAAAAGTATGTGGTATCAGCCGTTGTGTATCTTGCATGCATCCCACGGACGCAGCCGTCACCTCCCCGTGTGTAGCAGACAGACGACATGGCGTCTCCTCCCCCCCTGCAGCAGCCATGTTTCCCCCCAGAAATAACGGCAAATGCAGCCATATCGGCCTTGCAGCAGGGCTGAGAAGCGCTGCAACAGAATCACAACCGCAGGGCTTTGTTGCTGGCCACTGGATATCTGAACTCTACCAATATATCTCTTTTCCGTCACTCGAGATCCGTCGCACTCGCCTCCCTGGTGCGGATTTGACCTATCGTCTTGTGACTTGTACACTCCATCCATCCCTCGAAATCGCGCAAAGATCTGTTTCCCATGTTCTTGGGCATGTATTTGATCCTGTTTGAGAACTTATCAGCAAGTATCGTGTTGGTTATGCTACACGAACAGGGCGCTCTTCCTTTCATATCATTTCGCCAGCTTGTTTTCCACCTATGACTGCATCCCAGCCGGTGCATATGCAGCACGCTTGTAACCCGCGCGACGAGCCGGCGCCGTGCAGCCAAGCGCCGTCTGTGAAGATGTGGATCAAGAGCTCAAAGTGGATGTGTGGAGACCCACACGATACCGTTGAGGAAGCGCCCTCGAGCGACGAGAGCCTATGGGACGCCAGATTGAGAGTCATCAGGTCCCTTCCTTCAAACATATTCGGTACCCGACGGTTTTCTGCTATCGGCGACGGTAATGCAAATGCAAGGGCGGATCCACAGGCTTGGGCCTACCCAGCCTCTTCGAGCAGTGTGCCCAACGTCATCCTCTCTCTCTCTCTCTACAAGACCATTAAGCCCACAGTATGCGTGAAACGCGTGCCCCGGATTAGTGGCGAGAGAGGCTATCGAATTTTGATCAGTACATGAAAGACTCGGGGTGCAGCCAGAGTAGGAGGTCATACTTACTAGCATTTTATACATACCCCTCTCAAGTCCTCGGGAAGTGGATACCTGAAGCCATCTCTTCTACTCAAGTAATACGAGCTTGACGAACGGAGACTTGTCCGCTTCCTCGCGTGGTGCATGGGCGCTACCGAACCGATTAACGTGTCGCATAGGCTGCTGCACAACTATCCGAATCGTTGGCCGGCTGTTAAAACATCCATGCTCGCGTAGTAGTAGCCACATGCCGATATCGCAGAATAAGAGTCGACCGACTGTTGCCCGGAAAGCAGCAAAGAAATCAGCGAGTCCAGGGAACCCTGTAAGAATGACGCTTCAAGATACCGTCATTCGTCAGTTGTCCAAGCCATGCCGACCTGTAAGGACTGTTCAAAAGAATTTTACATGTCATGCGGTCCGCTGGATGCCGCATGTTCATTACACGCATGCGCCCATGTAATGGATTGCTCCAGTTTGTAGAGAGCTGCTTCAGCCTCGGTTTGTCACGACTTCAACAACGTTACTCGGACCAACCTCATACCTGGATTCTGGATCTCCTCGCTACCGCCATCATAAAAAAAACACACGGCAACAAGGCCGACCAAGCCCTTCCCAGTCGCTTCTACGGAACCGTACAACAAGCAGAGACGATCAAGCCCTGAAGTGTAAAAGAGACTCCATGGAGCCTCGACTGACTGCGTTGAGCATCATGTTGAGTAGTTGCCCCGCAGATGCTCAGGCGGTGGCGGGGAGTGACTAGTAAACTCACGCCGACTTAGAGTCAAGGAAGTCACTGTGGATGCAATGCACGATCAGGTAGATAGAGAAAACGACACTTAACCGGGACTGTTGTGTAATGTCCTGTCGCAGACGTGAGAGTCGTGGCCTGTATAGCCATATATGCCTGCAACCTTGAGCAATTGGGGCCTGCCACGCGACAATCCTGGCGCGCAAAGTAAAATGTTGGGGGCCACCTCTGGCTTTGTGTCCAGAGCGGTGCATGTACGATTATCGCGGCGCAGTCGTTGCTAAAAACGACGAGGGCCAAAAGTGAACAGCTAGTCCCGGCTTGGCCTGTATGTATGCATAGCAATGGAAGTTGGTGGAAGAGATGAGGTTAAGGCGAAGCAACCCCAACACATGTCACTGCATGACCACGACCAATCACTACCAAACAGCCACGTCTAGCGGGCCCTTGTCATCTGACAACAGGGCGCCACTACATGAAATTGTGCAGAGCTCAATATTCTTATTCTGATACAACACCTACATCAACCCTAGGCAGAGCGAGAAAAGATGCAGAGTACAGGTGTCGTTATCTATCAAACGTCCTCTTCGCATCGCAGGCTTCGCCAAAGCACGCGTTCCAGCAGCATTAAACGAAGTTATTGCGCGATAAATCCAAACCCAAAAGGGCCCAAGACCAAAATGTTGTTGTTAGATCAAACGCCGTCGTCCACTCCAGATCTAACCGTGAAAATGCATGTTCTAGAAGCCGTGTTCCCAGACGCCCTTTTATTTCTAGTCTCGCCCCTCATGACCAGACATCTTCCTGATACTGATTCGATGCCCTCATGGCCTTTACAATCTCCTCACCCTTGGTCTCGGACACGTTTCGGTACTTGGCGATGATCTTGCCGAGTAATGTGTTGACTTCACGGGCCATGTGTGCGGCATCACCGCAGACGTAAAAGTAAGCCTTTTGCTCGAGCAGCTGGTTGATGGCTTCGCCATTCTCTTCAATCTTGTGCTGCACGTAGATCTTCTGGGGACCATCTCGGGAGAATGCTGTGTGCATTTCGAATTTGTCGCCAAGGTCTTGTTGGTATTGCTGCACACCATGTTAGCAACAGCAAAACAGTCAAGAAAGAGCAACATGAACTTACCTTCCACTCATCAGCATACATGAAGTCTTCTGCTTGTTTCCTGCATCCAAAGAACAAAACAGTCTTGCCAACGTTCTGGCCAGCCTTGGCTTGCGCAGCTCGCTCTTGGACAAAGGCACGGAAAGGTGCAACACCGGTACCAGGGCCTACCATGATGATGGGCTTTGAGGGATCCGAGGGAAGCTTGAAGTTGGAGTGACGGACATGTACGGGGACGTGAATACCATCGTACTTGTTGCGGGGACCGGTGATGGCGTAGTTGAGGCCATGGGGATCGGGGTTGGGGTCTCCGTGCTGCTTCTGTTTGAGGGCTAGCAGGTAGTTGGTAGTGACACCCTTGAGAGCGTATGGCGCGCCTGGCTTCTCGATGGACTCGACGACAGCAGTGATGGAGATCTTGTCTTTCTGCACCAACGAGGATGAGGAAATTGAGTAGTAGCGGGGCTGGATCTTGACCATGGTCTCAAAGAGGAAAGAAAAGGGGATCTTGTCCCAGATGGCGCCCTTTCCGGTAATCTCGAGAAGTTGTCCTAGGTTGAGGTTGCGATCGGTGACTTGTTCCTTGAAGTAATCCTTGTCGCTGCCAAGCTTTGTAATTTCAGCCTTGATGTCGTCGTTGGGAGCAAACTGAGCAATGACGGAGACGAGTTGACGAGATACAGCAGCGTTGATTTCAATGTGGTAGCGGATGGCGGCATCGTAGGTGGTCGGCGAAGGAAAGGGAACCTTTGCAGTGGGGTCGAGACCTTTGACAGTAATGACGGTATGACGCTTGTCTTCTTTGCCGAGAACCTTGAACAAGCGATCGACCTCTTTGCCAGCGTTGGTAGGCCAGATGGCGATGTGATCACCAGTGGTGTATGACAGGTTGGAGCCAGCGATGCTGATTTCCATGTGCAGGCAGTTTCGGTTGGGGTCGGAGAAGAGCTCGTGAGATTCGACAATCGGGGCGATGTAGGGGTTGTTGGCGTTGAAGGGGCCCTTTTGGTTTCCCTCGAGGTGGTTCTTGTTGGGCTCGCCGAGGAAGACGGTGTCGTCTTCGGGAGAGAGATCTGGCTTTTCGGTGACCTGGAAGACGGGCTCGTACAAGGCTTCGCGCTCTTCCAAGCCCAGGTTTTCGGCAACGGCAGCCCACATGGGCTCCTTCCATGCGAGGAAATCCTCTTCCATTGTACCAGCACCATCGTCACCCTCGCCAGCCGAGCCGAGTCGAGTAGCGCCAAGCTTTGTCAAGAACTCGTCGACTCTGCGGACCATGACATTGTAGTGTTCGTATGTGTTGTTGCCGAGACCGAATGCGACGTACTTGAGTTTGCTGAGAGGTTTGTCGTTGATGCCGCCGCCCTCGGAGAAGCTGATGTCCTCGGAACTGATAAACTCATAAAACTCGACGGCGTTGTCCGTGGGCTCGCCCTCGCCGTAGGTGGCCAGGACGAAGACGGCAAGCTTGTCTTCGGGGAAGGTGTCGAGATTCTCATAGTCGTATTCCTCGAGATCGGCAACCATGGTCTTGAGACCGAATCGTGAATGGCCCTCTTTGGCGATACGCGAGGCATAGTCCTCGGCGGTACCCGTTTGGCTGCCGTAGAAGACAATGCAGTTCTTGTCCGTCTCGTCCATCTTCTCAATGAAGTTGCGGGACTTGCCCGCTTTGGCTGCGCCATTGGCGGCGGCCAGAGAGGTGCCGTATGGGTTGGCGGCGACGCCCCAGTAGGTGCCCTTTGTGAAGTAGGCGAGTGTGCCGACCAGCAGGACGGCCAGGACGGCAATGTCGAGGGTGTCGAGTTGGGCCATGGTGCTGGGGGAGGCGTTAGCAGGAGGCACGAGAGAGACGAAGACGGAGGGGCAGGGCTGACACTGTTATCTATCACTCGGCAACCGAAGGCGGGCAGGCGAGCGGGCAGTGGTGGTTTATGTACAGGCAACGTTGCAGCGGCCCTGGAGCATGGGCAGCGGCTGACGGGGCCGTCGACTTAAATACAGTCTGCGACTTGGTGTTCCCAGGCAAGGCGTGACACTGACACCAGCACACGGAGGGGTATGGGATGTAATACTTTTTTGGCCGCTGGATAGGGGTCTGCGCGCGTTTTGTGCTGTGCAGCGTCCTGCTGACGAGGCGATCGTTAGGGCCAGATAGTGCCGTCACAGACAAGAGCCGGAGCCGACTCGTCCCGCCCCAGACTGGCTGCCCGCTGCCACCGCCGGCAATGGAGCCCTGGGTTTCCCGAAGGCGAAGGCAGCCCTGCTTGCTGGCCGCATTAGTGAAGAGGCCGCCGGCCAGGCAGTGCCGGCCAGCGCTCACGCCAGACCATCGGCCGCTGTCCGCATCTCCGATGGCTGGCGACGGACCAAAGTGCGCATCAGAATGCCCAGCAGCCAGAACAGGGCGACCGGCGTTTACTGTGTCCATACATACTACTATACATGCTACTACTTACTAGTCGGCTGGCCGCCACACTTGCCTGGCCCGTACACAGCTACTAGGCACTGTGACTGGACACTTGGCTGCTTACGTACACACAGACTTACTACATTGCAGCACCGCTATGCCTACTTGCCTACTGCAGAAAAACAAGCATCTGACCCGATTAGCTGCTTGGCCGGTATAGTCTTAGTGGCGAGCTCACCACCCCCGGCGCCCGCCAAGCCACTGGACAGCAAGGCTGCTTTTTCTGCTCAAACCACCCATCGCCCAAGCTGCTGCTTCTCGGCCACTCGGTGTTCCGGCTGGGCAGCATGCAACACGATAAGTCGACGGCTTCCTGCTCCAAGTGCCATGTCGCATGCACATGGACATGTGTAGGCGTAGATATACCAATGTGCGCCCGCTTGACTAAGCGCCCGATTGGGGCTGGCGTCATCGCCGCTGCCTGCAGCAAACAAACAACTTTGCCAGTTTTCCATGCCAGTCTGCCACTACGAAGCCCGACTGCCCGAGTTTGGAAAACTGCCGTCTCTCGCACCTTGTCGCCTATGCTGCATTCTCCTCGCACATTGCCTGGCCTGCATCGGTTTCGTCCGTTTACATACACACACGTACCCGCTATTCATTACCGGCGGTTGCGAGACGCCGATTTTTGTGTGTGCGCACGGTAATAGGCCACATGGGGCTAGTGCTTCGGAGAATGGACGCATCCAAGTGCGTATGCGTTTCATTTCCTGTAATACTCATAGTGAGCAACTACTTGCATACATATGTGCGCACATACGTATCCCTCTTTCCAGTAATGTTTGGGACTGCCCGTGGAAGCACTTCAGTCCACTACTGCTACATCATGTAGAGGGGGCTGTCAGCCAGCCAGCCAGCCCCCCTGAGGTTCTGGTCGGAGCCATTCACGTGACGCTCCTCTCCTCTCCTCTCCTACTCGCTCCGCTGTCCCAGCCAAGGGGCAGTCGATGACAGCTTGCAGCCCTAAGCAGAATGCCCCTCACGTGCAGTTCAACGCCGCGGTGCCGGCCCTTGTCCTCTCGAGCCCGCGTCCCAGGCTTGCATGGCCAAGTTGGTCCTCCACGTGGGATTGCACATTAAATCCGGATGGATCTCCAGAGCCGCGACGCTGCCGGTGCGCCATTGATGATCGTTGCCGCCAAATGGGCTAGCCGTCAGGCACAGGGCAAGGGTCTACCCACTCCCTCAACCCCAAAAGACATCAATGACAGCCAGCGCGCCCCCCTCACCCGCCTCGCCTTTGTTGTCGTGAGCCTCTGGCGACGGGCCGCAAGATCCTCTGTCCGACGTGGAAGATGCTGCACAGCAAGTCGGCGGCATGTGTAAGTAACTTTCTCCCCCCCCGCCCACCCCCTGTGACGCTCTAGTCCTCCCCAACCCGGGACACGGTACCGTGAAACACCCTCCCCACACGGCTCGCCTCTGGACTACCATGCCGGCTCTCTGCTGTGCCATGCTCGGCCGTAGATGGTCGTCGAGACGACTTTGCTGCTTTGTTGCAAGTGCTTTGTGCTGACCCCTTCTGTGCCTGTCAATCAGCAGCGTTCCCTCTCTTGCAAGCCCGGCCACCGGCTGGGAATGTGTCGCACCATATAGACCACCACCCCTCGTCGGCCTCACGCGAGCCCAGCCAGACGCGTGGAAGGGCACTGACAGCCTCGTCTCGAACAATCACCTCCCGCTCACAGACGCCCGCCGTAAAAGGCGCAAGTAGCAGTTCGAGCCCCGACCGCACCCTGGCCACGCTCGAACGCAAGCCCTCGGGCTCCTACGCCCACAATCGCAACACCTCCATCGTGCACGGCATCCAGCACTCGCGGAACACCAGCTTTGTCAACTCGCCCGCCACGAGTCCCCTGAGCCCCCAGATCATCGCCGCCGCCGCCGGTGCCACCATCGATGGAGCCATCATGTCGCAAGAATCCATAGCCGACGCCTTTGCTGCAAACGGCATGCAGCCTGGCTCCGCCTCCGGGATTCCCTTTGCTAGCCCTCCCCTCCAGCCAGTCCATGCCGATGGCTATGCTCCCCTGCGCAAGCCTGAGCGGGCGCCCAGTTCGAGATCCTCGCGCAAAGGCCATAACCACCACCGCTCCCAATCCCGCCACCCACAACACCCCCATGAGCTCAAGACAGTGGGCGAATATGCCCTACACCACCTCTTCAATTCCTTCATCAGCCAGGCTGAGCACAAGATCAACCAATGCACAACAGAAAGAGGCCAGCCCGAGGCAAAGGTTGAAAACGTTTGTGGTCCTGGGGTAGACCCAACCTTTGACCAGCTTATAGCCGCCCTGGGTCATATTGCTCGTCAGAAGCCCAAGCCCCTAATTGACACCATAATGCTATGGCGCAAGGCAAAGAGTGAGGAGGCGTCTAAACAGCGCACCCAGCTACTCAATGTAGGCCCCCCGAATTGCCTTTTGAGAGAGACGAGGACATTACTGATGCATCCAAGGCACGGCAAGCCAGTCCAGTACCCCATCCCCACCTCGCCCTTTCCCGGCGAAACACCGAGTCGACGCAACAGCCAGACGCCCAGCCAACGGCCTCGGTATCATCGCCCGCCGAGCACATTCTTGCACTGCAGCATACCGTGACGCAGGCTGAGCAGCGCTCTACCGTCTCGACCTATATACTCTGCCGTGTCTTGATTGAGATCATGACCCAGACCGATCTTCAGAATCTCACGTTTGAAATGGCAGATCGCCTCCTAGGTCTGTTCTACGGCCAACTTAGCACTGTGGACCCGGACTTGGTGGATATCTCGTCCCTAAACCTCGCTAATTGGACTATTTATAGCCAGTTGCTTGGTGTACTGAGCGGACTTATCTTCGAGCAGGTGCAAGAGAAATTCATCGCCGACTTGAAAATGGTGGACAGCCATCTGGCTGCAAAGAACCAGTACAACAGGGATCACGAGGCCAAAGGCGCCTTGTTGATCCGCGCGCTAAGGCACATGAAAGTTGAGTCTTACCCCGAAGACGTCTGGGACCGGACGTGCGACTTCATGCTTTCAATGGCAAAGCTGTTTACCAGCGCCCATGGACAACCGGTCAAGTATGCCTACTGCCAAGTGTTGAGGGAGTTATTGCTCCGTATTGCTTCAAAAGCGACCGTAGAGCTCAATACACCCAAATGGAAGAACGTGATCGAGCTCATGAAGCAGCGCGCTGCCATATTACTCGGCAAACCCAAGCATTGGCATGAAGCATTCCCACTCATGGCTGCCATCCTGTGTGCATCACCTACCGACATATTTCTTTCTCAATGGCTCGCACTGGCCCTGTCGACTCAGCCCCGGCTCAAGGAACGCACAACTAGACCTATTGCCCTCCGTGGCATTTGTCGGCTTGTGTGGACCTACATATATCGACGAGGCACCGAGGCCCCCAATATTGCCGTGCGTCGACTAGATGAGATCATACGGATGGTGTTCCAGCCTGGAAGAAGATCTTATCTTTCCACCGAACCTGTGATAGCGGAACCTCTGATACAACTCACACGCATCATTGGCTACAAGTACCAGGATCTCTGCTTCAAAACAATCGTATTTCCACTTCTCAACTCGGACATGTTCATGTCAAATCGAGAACTGCGTGTCGAGAATCTCGAGCCTGAGCGTATGGTGATTGGAATTCGCTCATTCCTTGCCATCATGGCGGACCTGGAGAACACTGAGCAGCCACCTTTCCCACTGACGTTTGATTACGATCCCAATGCGTTGTCAAACGAGCTGCCTGCGCTTCCCAGCAGCCCGCGGCCTCTACAGCCTCTACCCATCAAGTCTAGCCTGCTCAAGGAAGAGCGTCTTTCCCGTCCCGTTGACTTTAGCGGTTTTACCGAGGTGGCCAAAGAGCACTATGTCCGATTCTGTAAAATTTTGGGCGAGATCACCATTATTTGCGATAATGCATTTGGTGGACAGGCCGTTCTGGACGAGAAGTTCTCTGTGCAGACACCAAAAACGCCCATGGCGGATGCTTTCAGCTTTAGTCGTCGCGAAGAGAACCTAATTACTACAGATCCTCGCCAGGGGTTTTATGATCTACTACACGTCGCTGTCCAGGCTTTGCCTCGCTGCTTGTCCCCGCACATCCCATTCAACTCTCTTGTCAATCTCTTATGCACGGGAACGGCGCATGTTCAAGGAAGCATCGCAGTATCTTCGGCCCAATCCCTGAAGTCTATAGCACGACAATCTCATGCTCAACAAGTTACAATTGGGTTTGCACGATTCATCTTCAACTTCGACGACCGGTATGCTACAATGTCTGATGGTGGCATGCTCGGTCCCGGGCACATTGAGAACACACTGAAGCTCTATGTCGAACTGCTCCAGATATGGATTGAAGAAATCAAGCGAAAAACGCGCAAAGCAGCACTGGACACCCCAGATGATGGCTCTGGCAATCGCGCTGCTCAGCTGGACCTCTCATCGGTATGGGCTCATGTCGAAGAGGTCGAATCTCATGGTATTTTCTTCTTATG